TCTTATAGACAAAGATAGATCAATGTGACACCATACTTCTAGAATTACGCGAAATTAACATGCAGGAACACTTGTTACGCCATATATTGTCTAAAAAATTAATATTTCCCCCGAAAAATAAGGGAGTCGTTTGCGCTACCAGAAAGGAAATGTAGCAGCCAACACAGTTTATGAATTTATAAGGTATTCGAGAAAGTGATTCCATATGTCCCCGGAACTGTGGCTCACAGTACTTCGTGTCGTAGTGTGTGTTCGTTTTTTGCTTGATATATAAACATTCAGTGTGCAAGAAATGCTTACACCGTGAACCACGATTTTGCATGTTTTATTCATGTTCACTTGCTTTTTTTTTCCTGACTCCCATCATGGTCCCCGTTGTGGGGACTAACAGTGTTGTCAAATAAAAAAAAAATATATGGTCAAGGTATAATTAATTTGCAATTACGCTTTCTTAATCGCGAATGCAGGTATTGCAGGAAACATGTATTTAATTTCTTAAAATCATCTATATGAAAAGAAAAAAGACACTCATGTAACAAAGAAGTGGGTTTGTGAGAAAGAACTCTTGCTCATGAACAATGCCTCTAGAAACTCATGCGGTGTTCCGCCTATAACCCTGTCGAATCAGATGACAAAGTAGGGTATACCTAATCACACGATATTTTAGAATTTACAGTTAGCGTGTACTCCGTCACAATAGGTATAATGTTTTGCAAGGCCAGTGAAGAATCATTCCGCGTAGTCGACTCGCACACTACCCTACAGTTCGTGCATTGAGAATGGTGGGCACACCGATGTAAAAACATTGGACTTTTCTAAAGCAGTCTAGGTGGTATTTGAACGGAAACTATTGTGTACAGTCTTTATCACCTGTAATGTGAGAGCAATAAAAAAAATTGGAACGTGAATCTAGGGACAAAAATAGGTTGAATAAGGGATAAAACACCGTGAATTCGTGGATTTTGCTTGGGGTCGACTGGTGTGAGGGTCAATACATTTTACCTTCTTCGAGATTCACCATAAGGAAAGATATATCAGATCATTCTTGTCGTGTACCGAGTCGGGTCGAGTCAAGAGGACCAAAGACAGGAGCCGCAAGAGAACACCAACTACGCCGGTGGCCTTTATCGAACAACCCAAAACCTCGAGCCCACACGCGCGCATCGCAGCCTTCCACGCGCATCCGTCCCGCGCTACCCGAGTCACGCTCATCTGTCAGCCAACACAGCCAGCCAGCACTTGTGCCATATAACGCAAGATGCGTTCCCACTTATATGACACCTCCCCCTTTTAAGCATTAATGTCCATAACGAGTTGGAGGACGCGAAATTCGGCCACTCCGGGTTACGGTTGCTGAAAGGTCGTTGTCCTGTTGACCGGCTGCTTCCATCTCGGAGCTCGCGGGCTGAAGATGGTGCCGAGTGCGTCGTACTGTCCCTTGGTCCGTTTCCACGAGGTAAGACCTAGGCTGTCCTGCTTGGCCTTGTATCCTTGCGAAGCCGCACCCGCGTGGATCCAGACCGCTGAGTGGGGGGGTAGCACCTGGCAGACTCTCGTCCTATGGCGTCTGTTATAGTCAGACGCCTCTCTCGTCTTACGAAACCGGTACCGTTGTCGATATTTCTTCGAGTGGCGCCAGTGAGGTCTCAGTGTAGTTGGCGCACTCGGAAGTGTTGAACGGAGCTTCCGTCCCATCAGCAGCTCTGCAGGGGAGAAACCTTCAGGCCCTGGGGTAGTCCGGTGTGCCAGAAGAGCTTGCGCCACATCCGATGATTTCGTCAGCAGGTTCTTTGCAGTTTGTACCGCTCTTTCGGCCTCCCCGTTGCTCTGGGGGTAATATGAACTAGAAGTCACCAGTTGGGCTCCCCAATGGTTCACGAATCGCCGGAACTCGCTCGATCCAAACTGGGGACCGTTGTTGGGTGAACATCATCTTCGAGCGAGCCAAATTCAACTCGAGAAAGCAAGAACCGGACGAGCCAGTGGAGGTCTTGATCACGGCCCTACATAAACTGGCGGATACTTGCGAGTATGGCTCTCTGCGGGACGAGCTCATCCAAGATCGCATCGTGGTAGGACTGCTCGACACAAAACTCAGTGACAAACTCCAGCTGGACGCTCAACTTACATTGGAAAAAGCGACCACGACAGCACGTTCGTCGGAGACAGTTAAGCGGCAACAGTCAGAGCTGCGCAGCGCAAAGACTGGAAGCGACGTCCTCGAAGAACTTAAAAGACATCCGCGAGGAAAAAGCGTGAAGAAAGATACCAAACGTCAGAGCACGTCGCAAGACCAAGGACGTCCTAACAGTTTAACGTGGACATGCCGATGGTGTGGCAGCTCGCAAAAGCACGCCCAACTTCAATGCGCTGCGAGAGGCAAGAAGTGTAACGCCTGCAAAAAGCTAGGCCACTTCGAAACCGTCTGTTTTTCGAAGCATGCGATAGAAAATCGAAAATCACGAGCACTTGGGCAGAGACTAAACGAAGTCTTCCTTGGCGAGCTGGTACACTCAAGAAACGGGAGCCCCTGGTTCATCACAGCTAAGCTGAACGACCGGGAAGTAAAGTTCAAGGTGGATACGGGAGCGGACGTCACGGCTGTACCTCCTAGCGCGTGCGACGAGACAACCTTGGCAGCGCTGGAGCCAACAGAGACGCAACTTTTTGGAGCCGGACACTCTCCACTCAGCACACTCGGCAAGTTCAAGGCAGCTATAACCTGGAGTGGGCGAACAACCAGAGAGACGATCTACGTAACCGACCGGCTGAGATACCCTCTGCTTGGACGAGCGGCTATTCAAGCCCTTGAGGTGCTGTCAAGCTTACAGGAGGTCAATGTTGACAGCAACATAGAGTACGATCAACAACTGCACGCTAAGTACCCATCGCTTTTCCAAGGACTGGGGAAAATGAACGTCCAGTACAAGATCACCCTCCACCCGGACGCTAAGCCGTTTGCAATCACCTACCCGCGACGGGTACCCTTTCCGCTGGTACCCAGCGTAGAAAAGGAACTACAACGCATGCAAGGCATGGACGTGATCTAACCAGTCGACCACGCCACAGCCTGGTGCGCACCCATGGTGGTTGCCAAAAAGCAAGATAACTCTATCCGGATCTGCGTGGACTACACTCAGCTCAATCCGCAGCTGGTGCGGGAGCGCATCATCATGCCCACGGTAGAAGAGACCCTGGCAAGGCTTGCAGGAGCTACGGTATTTAACAAACTAGATGCCAATTCCGGCTACTGGCAAGCCCCACTAGCTCCGGAATCAAGAGAACTGACCACTTTCATCACACCAGTGGGACGTTCTCAGTTTAAGAGACTCTCGTTTGGAATCGCGACGGCGCCAGAATTCTTCCAGCGGGAGATGATGAGGATTCTAGAAGGAATCCCGGGGCATGTTTGTCACATGGATGACATTCTAGTTTTCGGCCGCGACAAAACAGAACACGACAATTCTTACAAATTTTCTTGGATGCGAGAAATAAATATCAATAAAAAAATTAATCTTCCCGAGTCAACATTTTAGAATGATTTGCAGAGCGTTGAAAAACTTGCGCACCAAATTTAAATTGACATTTCATGCTGACAGATCGGTAAATGACATTTACTAATGAGAGTATTTTTTGCGTAATTTTCGAAAAACTAATTCAGAGGACCTCGTTACCACGTTCGACAAAATTGTCCCAGTAATCGAAGGAGTAAAAACACCACGGGTTTTCCACCCGCGTAACTTCTCCGAAACGTTTCTTGTTAACCGAGTCTGAAACGATAGCGAAGAACCTCCAGAAAAGCGTAGATGCGAGGCGGCAGGCACGCGTGTGAATTGCGGCGTTTTTGTCTAGGCGAGGCAACAAAAAACTAGCACCGGGACGAGGCGTTTTTGGCACCACTTGGTTGGCTCCATCTGAGCTTGGCGTGGGCTGAGGTCGAGCTGAAACGCAGATATAACGTCTTGACTAACTGTACCTCTCATCCCTCATATTTTGTTTTTATTTACTTGTCATTCGCGAGAATGCAGGCGACAAAAGGAAGCTACCACACTTCAAGATATCTGCCTGCACCGAACAGCGCATTTTGAGGGCTCATGGACTTGGCTTCAAAATATGTAAGCGGTTTTTTTCTATGCGATTTCCCGCGCCTTCATATAAATGGACTTTCGCACTATTTCAGTGACCATTATGGCAGCCGAGCCGTTATTAAGGAGCTTTCCAGACCGTTTACTCTCGTCCGCTAAAACTCTCCGCAACCTGGACATCACTGCTGCGCATGCGCGCGTCACCCTTGCGTGCAGAGTGCAAGATCCGGTGGCGCGGGTTCCGGAGAGCGTTACCCGACGGCGGAAACTGTCTGTCAGAAACTTCCTCATATTAGCAGAAAGATGCAGTGCCGTATTTGTTGTTTTTGAACGTGCCAAATATAAACTGAACAGGCTTACAAGCGGCAACCTACGCAACTGCGACGTAGCTGTGAAGGGCAAAAACGTGCCGTATTGAGCGTCTACAGCCAAATATATATGCGCCAGGAGAGTTCTTTTTATTGTTTAAAATCACAAATCGCTGAAAATTAAAATAAAAAAAACACTAACTCAGTGCGCCCGGCTAAAGTTTGAACACTATTCAACCTATCTAACTCGCTTCACGCTTCAAGGGGTTCAGTGAAGACACTACGAAGATCCAATTCGAATGTTTTCTCGAGCCCCGGCGGTTTAGAATTGTATCCGTTTGTGCTAAGCGCTCGTATTGAAGGCTCGAGTTTACAGTCGTTCAACGCTAGGAACACTATGCACCATTTCGAGCAGAAGTACGCGCAAGCATTGATGCATAAGAGCAGACACAAACAAACATGCAATCTTTAAATATCTAAACGTTTGATATACAAAATACCTTATCGGCATCTACCCGGAAACAGTGGCATTCCCTAGTAAGTTTTCCGCACGTCTTGAGATGCTTCTAAAGTAAAGGAGTTTACGAAAAAAAAGTGGGTATCTCACTCTCTTGGAAGGCTCAGCGTGAGGATGGTTCTCCAGCGACTCATCTCCCATACGACAGCCGTGCTGTATGGCATAAAGCGGTGGTCCTCCCACGTCGGAGTGCGGCCACACCCGACGACCCTGTCAATCTCTTTCTGGATCTTGGCTTGAACTGTGCCAGGATTGTTGGCGCAGTGCAGAAGGATATACAGGATGCTGGTTGCCACGGTGGTCGATCCAGCGATCAATAAATCAATAATGTTGCCATGAAGGCTGCGATCTGTGAGCGACAACAGGAATTACTATAACTTTGGCATACGTCAGGTAAGCCAAGATATCAGACCTGCGTGAATGAAGCAAAGATTACATCTGCTCGCTGGAAGCTCCATAAAAACCGCATGAAAAATCAAGGCATATCCGATTTCGATTAACATTAACTGGATTGGCGTACTATCATAGCGCCAGAAAAAAATATTAATATCTTATGGCCGGTGCCCCGTCTGTCATGTATTATATGGTCAGGATGGCTGGTTGGGCTACTCGGTTTTGCATCATGCCTTAATACGCGAAAAAACACATGGACAAAAACGAGGGAAGATCTGGACAGGACGCAGGGCGTGAATTTGAACTGTTTTTGTTCACTCAACGCCCTTATGGTCGTTGGCTTCATAAAGACAGGCTTGCCCGTATCACCAGTTTTTAATATGAGAGGGACATGTTGCAAATGGCTAGAAATAACTTAGTGATGATTAAGTTATTCCAGTTCGCTCTTCATGTTGTAAGTTCAAATAATCAAGATAATACAATATATAATAACTACATCACATTAACGTAGGCGCTAGTGGAACAAAAATTAGCACAAAACGTTTACAAACATGCAAGTGCCACTGTAGTTACTGGTCACACAATTATTTTAATGTTTAAACTAAAAACAAAAACCGATAGCTGAAACAATATGCGCTGCCAACTAATATTTTGTATGTCCGCTCGCTTGATTACGTGATCACAAAACTGAAACAGCTCTGTTTGACAGTTTTTGGCTGATCAGTACGATATGAGTGTGAGTTGCGCTTTCTCGCAACTACAATGTAGCGATAGATATGCAATCTAAACAGGATATAGTCGAATCAACGAAACATAGAGAAGGCTCACTAAAGATTAAAAGGCTATTGTAAAGTTTTCTAGGAAATATTTCGCTTTCGTGTGCGACCGTCAAGCCACAGAACCACGCTCAAACTGGAAGGACCAGCGTTTAAATAACAATCGACCTATTCACACAAGAAAATAAAGTGTAAATTTTGGCGAGATGTAAAATAAAAAATTGCAAACCACCACACAAAGTGTGCTGCGATTGGCAGTGTTAGCAGCTACGTTGTGGAAAGGCTTGGTGAAGGAGATCTGCCTTCGGTTAGTGTGCTGGACAATGTTTGTGACGGGTTCTGAAAACAGGGCTACTGTGGCAAGGCGATTGCGACGGGTTCTGAAAACAGAACCTGGGCGGCTACTCTGGGAAGGCGAGGAAGCGTGTCGCCCAGTGCACGACCACGTATAGTTCGCAACGGCGGCAGCCAAAGGAGCGCGGGAGGGTACGTTGATGTAGAAGGAATGATTGGGAGGAGGAGAGCGCTCTCACCATAATCACGTGGGTTTTTCCGAACAGCGGCAGCCTACCGGGGAGAAGAAGGGGGGGGGGGGGGGAGGGAGGGTCCGAGAGAGAACCTTGTTGCAGTTGGCATGCATGTGACACGAACGGCGAGGAGGGGGAGAGCAGTGCATCTTCAACAGGGTGGAGTTTTGCGTTGGTGTATAAAGATTTTTTTCCAGGAGGGGCAATGACAGCTATCGCTGTAAAAATGTTTTAACAAGAAGAATGTCGGTGAGTGATTTCACTTCAAATCGCGCATGAAAAAGTAATGTCTCAGGAAGTTTTGAAAAAAAAAATATATATATTCTGGACGAATTCTTTACTAGGAAAAAACTGAAAAGTTTCTACGCAATATTTTGAGATTCTACGTAACATATTGGGATTTTTACTTCTAAATCAGCAAAGACGGTCCCGTATTTGGGACCTTCCCCAAGCTCAGATACCTTTCGTACCACAAATAAACTTTTCACGGGAATTTTTAAGCTAGTATTAAAGCGCAATATATTGATAAAAGTTCGTTGTTATTTTTTCATTAAAAAAAAAAAACGCACCTCACCCCTTTTACAATGATTTACCATGTTTAGATGAAAACTTGTAAGTATTAGTGTTATGATATAAAATATAAATTAAATGAAACCTTAAACGAATACCTTCAAGAAATACGATATTGTCCTAATCAAATAAAGTTACCTTTGCAACAAAGGCTTTTGAATGGAACAGGAAACCCTAAAAGTAAAAATCTCAACATCAAAATTCACGAGAAGACCATATATATATATATATATATATATATATATATATTTGTATAGAGAGCTTTCAGTATCATCTAAAGTTCTAAACCATCCAATTAAAGTCAGATCTACCGTATGGTTTAGATATAATGTCTATACGTTTAAAAAAAACGAAATGTTCCAACTTCTATTTTAAGATGCGAAGATTGGTCATTGTCAATTGTACATCTCTTTATTAACTAATTTTTGTCACAATGGTATTATATTCGTTGGCTTCGATTTAACACATATAGAAGATAAGGCTGATACGTACACAGATGGTATGATTAATATATGGATGTTTTTCTACAGATGTCTTATTTATTCCCTTTAAAACATTTGCAATTAAAATTAAATTCTTGAAATTCTTTCTTTAGAAAAAAGACCTTATAGATATTTTCTCCTTAAAGGGTCCGTGAAACGAATTTTGGAGTGGAATAAATAAATTTATATTGGGATTTTACCAATAGCACATTGTTCAGTGGGCCAAAAGAAAAAAGGTTGAAAGTCAAAAGCCTGACTTTGGGTACAAAAATTTGAAAACACAGCAGACTATATCGTACCTCCTTCCCTTCGTAAGCTCTCTGCCTTTTCACTGTGATACATCCGCGGTCCCCGCAGCGCGTCACCGGCCCAAACGCACGTCACACGGCACCGGACCTTAATCCCTTCACCCCTAAGCTGACATTGTGGTGGAAGCTACGCGCTTGCCGGACCAATCAGCCGCCTCCCTTTCATCACTTGACCTTATTCTCTGCGCGAGGGAGCGTGATCACGTAGGAAAAGTGTGGCTGGCCCAACGAGCACGTAGCTTCCACAGCACTGTCAGCCTCGGGGTGAACGGGGTGGGGAAAGCAACTTTTGTCTGAATTTTGAGCGACGGGCTGGTCTTCTAGGGGGAGAATTGCAGTATCCGGGTGCACAAACGAGAGTCCGAGAAAGAGGGGAAGCCACCCTTTCCGTCCTCTTGCACTGTTTGGTAGAATGCGCGATTTATGAGTTGAGGAGGAAAGCTAAACAAGAAAAAGTTAGAAAACCGTTTCATGACCCCTTTAACGTTGAATGCGGAATGCGGAATGTGGTGACAGAAAATATTTTTGATGTGCTGAGAGCTAGCATGAAATATCAGCTCTTTCCTATTCTCGCTTCTCCACGTACAATAAATAAGCCTCGTAAAAAGGTAGGCTTGTGCAAAAATATGAACATTCGTTTCTTAAAAAAAAAAACGGATCATACTTGCAAAGACTGTGGGAAAAGTAAATACAATTACATGAAATATATATTAAGCGAGATCACGAGAAAGTTTAGTTTGACCGAAAAGCGCCTTTAAAGGGGCAGTGACACCCCAAAAGTCGTATGTTGTGTTCTCTAAAACGATGCAGGTTATAGTCATTCTATAACTTGTGATCAGTCTATAACTTGTCATATGACCGGGCGCGCCTTTTTATTTTTGGCGTTTTTCTCTCTCTCTTCTCACCTCCTCGCTTATTTATATTTGTGACGCAATCGAATATGAAATTTAGAAGCTTTGTAAGCGATGTTTGTATAATATTCAATAGCGTCATTCATAAAACATGTCTTGAACGCAGTTGCGTGCGCAATACACCCCTTTAGAAATATCGAAAATCGGAGTCCGGAAGTGATGTGGCCTCCTGGTTTTTTATCCTTCGTCGGAAAATACGTCGGCGCTCGCCTCCTGTAGCAGTGAAGATGATCGGGGAATATGGGAATCGGACGACGTTCTTCAAGTTTTGCAGAATTCCCTCTAGCCTTGGACGTTCTGCTTCGTCTGATGTGACCTGCTGCGGGAGGAACTTCGGAACGACACCACGTCCTAACCCAGGTACCAATTAAAACCCCACCGCTCTAGAGACGCTTGAGCTGACTCCATAATCCTCGTCTATTAAGTGTCGATAACAAATAAAGGACTTGGATCCAAAACCCTCTCTCGTAGTCCTTCCAGAATTTGGAGCTAGCCAGGCCGTCTTCTCTGACGCATTTTTCGGGAACGTCTGCAGCGCACTTTCGCTTGTGACTCCGTCACGGGGCTGGCTTTTCCTCAGCACCAACGCAAAGCGGTCCCTCACATCACTCATGAAAGTCGACTGCGTGTCCTCTTCGACCTCACGCAGTTTCAAAAAATTTGAGATCGCCGATTGGGCTTTAAAAGAACTTCAATCTCTCAGGTGACGTGCCGTCCGCCCACAGCGATAGGCGGCATGGAGAAGCGCGGTTGATCGCGGAAATCTGGCGAACACGACACTGACGGTTGGCACGGTTCGGTGGCGGGAGAGAAACTCGGGTTGCAGGACGACTCAATCTTTGGTGTTACTGCACTGGCGCGGATCGCGCGGGAACTTCAAATTCGGCTTTTAATTTCTTTTTTTACTTTACAAATACTGCGTTTTTAAGCTTCGATTTTTTAGTGTAATTTCCAGGCTTCGTTTTCAGTCGTTTCGGGTAACAAAACAAAAATATGAGTTTTACTTCTCAGTGCCCCTTCAAAGTGGACTACAGCATTACTTTCAATTCTTTGCTATTCGCTTAAAATAGCACTGAGAAACCCGTTCCTCCTTTTGAGGTTTCGTCCATCAGTGGTATAACCCACTGCTCTTGACAAAGCAAACAGCATTCCGTTCCTTCTTCTTGGCGTCAAGGCAGACTCGTGTATCGAGAGAGTTTGGGCAATCGGAGGAGCGGGCAGAGCCAGGGCGTGCTTCAGTCGCAGATGGAGGGCTTGGCATGCTCTCTTGGCCAACCAAAAGTCGAAAAGAATCCACTAGCTAATCCACTAGTGGCGGTAGCGAAAAACAGTTTTAATAAGAAAGTAAAGGTTAAATGTAATAGCCCTTCACGGCTAAATAT